AAAAATCTAGTCAGATAAAATGAAAAATATATACCGAGACTCATGAAAATTTTTGTATTGATTAAGGGTCAGTGATAGGTTTGATGGTGCTTAATAGGAAAAATTAATTATTATAGATCCTTTATTGGTGGGATATAATTGAAATAGACTTATACTAAAATAAATGAAAAATAATTTAGGAAATAAAGTCGTTTATTGAAAGGATAGGATTATTAGGTATAAGAGAATTTGTATTTTTTATTGTTATTCACCTATATAGTTAAAATTTTATAAAAATGAAAAATCTAAATAGTAAGATAAAAAGAAAAATCAATGCTCATGACTTATAAATTCTTGGACACTAATTACCAGTATAATACTTACCCCTTTTAGACCCCCTGCTTTATAAATATACAGTTATATGTTTTTGGTTATTTAAATAAAAAGGCATTTAATAGCCATTCTATAACACTATATTATAATAAGATAAATCTGATATGATTCGTGCTCGCTCTAGAAGATTTAGGAAAAAAATTCAAAAGATCTTATCTAGCATTTCCCCTAAAATTAATCCATTAGTGGAGCAATATAACTCTCTTCCTATGAATTTAATATGCCAATTTCGTCAATCTTTTAATTTTTTAGCCGAAAGACCTTCAGATGGTAAATACACCCATTGTTGTCATAAGGGTAAAGTAAAACTTATTCAATATCCTGATTATTTAAAAAATCTTTTATTTAATTCTTTAAATCCCTTGCACAAAAATTTATGCGTCATACTCATATTTGTTCTTACAATAGTTCTATTACCTTTGCATCTCTGGAAGCACAGATTTCAGAGTTACCAGGTAATGGGCCTTACTATTTTAAAGTTCATGGGCAAATTTATCATCGCACATCTCATCTATATCCCAATACTGATATTCTACATAAATTTGCTCAGTATATACTAAATAATCTCAGGCCATTGCAGAACGTCTATAGCACCCTGCCAATTCTGATAGTGATATAAATATCACGAGACATTTAGATGTGTTGATGTTGATCCATATACTTTTAGTTTCAACTTAGGTGAAGTTGAGAAAGCTGAGTTATTCCTTGCAAAACATTCAAATGTATTACTGCTAATGATTAATATGAGATTTCGCGGAGATCGTTCTAGCGACCGTCGGCAGTATAATTTACCTTTGATGACGTAAGTATAATATCTACAGGATTATTTTTTAATAATCCTTAACGTGTTAAGTTTTCATTTAGACCTAATGGTATACCCTATTTATTTCCTCATGGAGATTCTGGTTGGGAGCCTAATATGATTGCTGAAGGGTTTGAAAATTTTTGACGTTTAAAAATATCTGCTACAATTTCAAATTTCCCGTTTGGCGGTTAAACAAAATCTCTTTAACCCCCTTCTTAATGCTGAGAGTCAACAATATATTGTAAAGACGGGACATCATGCCTTTCTCCCTTATTCGATGATAGATGAATCAGAAATTAAGCATATCTTAAGAGGTATGATCCACAAATCTAATTTTAATTATTTTTATAAAATATATTAATGACTATATATTTAGTACCGTAAACCCCGTCATTCTTGACGGGTTATCAGCTAGTATTATACTAAATATTTATTATTAATCATTGCTACGATTAGCGAAAGATTGGCGGAATTTAGATTAGATATCAGTCCGGCCCTTTTATAATCTTAATACGAATTTTTTGAACAGCCTCGTGAATATTTTTTTGTACGAATTACGGTCGAAATCAATCTTTTTTGGTATATGTTATCTATAAAGTTTAATTATTATTTAAAAATATTTTGGAAGAGTTACTCACTCCATCTCTTAATTTAGATTAAGATATAGAAGAGACAACATAAAAAAAACATTATATTTATATGTATACATTTATATTCCATAAAGCTTATTATTTTATTTAAAGTACTATTAACACCCGATTTAATCATTGTCATGGGAACAGATATTTTTAGCGTTAAATGTGAGAAAACCTTGGATTCGAACCAAACCCGGATTTTTGAAAAAATCTGAACCCGAACCGGACCTAAACCCTTTTTTATAAAATTCCAAAACACGAACCAAACCCGGGAATTTTTCTGAACCAGGGTTCAACCGGGTTTAGTGTATTGAATAATTTAATTGAGATTTTATAATATTTTCAAATTTCTAATTAAATGGAGTGTTAATATATTTTAAATTTAAATAATTAAATTCATTTACGCCATTTATTTTTAATTTTTAACTTATTCTCAAAAATTATTAATTAGAGGAAAATGAAAGTGAACAAGTCAAAGTAAAAATTATTATATTGGATATTGTTAATTTAAAGAATTCTCAAAATCTAACTTAAAAATTGTTAAACAAAGACGTAGGACAGTTTTTGAAAACTTATTAAAATCATTTTATAATTTATATATGCTAATCATTTATTTTTTGTTCAGATTAATTTTTACCATATATTAATAAAGTGCATATTATAAATAAAATTAAATTTATATATCTGTTTTTTAATTCTATGAAATCATTGCTATTTAAAAAATTTATTATCTTTAACTCATTTATCTGAAAGTTTAATACATGTTCCTCAATTCATCATTTTATTATATAGATTTAAGATCAAAGATAAAATCATATTTGAAGCATTTTACTCTAGATACAATAGAAAATAAATCAGTTTGCAAATTAAAAATGTCTGGTAATATTTTTCAAATTTAGAAAGACATCTGGAAAGAAATCACAAAAAATGAATATCTAAATTATTTGAATGAAAAAACAAAATGTCAGGAAGTGTTATTTGCAACTATTAATAGAACAGACCAAACCATTAGAGACAAAATATCAAGATAGGTAGAAGGAAAACTAGTAAGTTTAAAAGCTGATGCAGTTCAACGACTATATAGGTCAATTCTTGGTGTAAATATTCAATTTATATCTAAGTCCATTATAATTTTGAGAATTTGTAGAGCTGAAAGAAAGAAGTACAGGAGAATATATAAAAGAGAATATACTTAAAACTTTATAAAGATTTAAAATTATTATTGAACAAATATACACAATTACTTCTGACAATGGTGCAAATTTTATCAAAGCTAAAAAGCTCTTGCAGCCTGAAATATTTTGATATAAGGAGTGAATCAGCAGATGATGAAAATATGGATGTGAATGTATATAAATATGATATGATGATATACAGAATACTCTTTTATCTACTTTTCTATCCTATCCGATTTATGTACATTGTGCAGCTCATACACTTCAGCTTGTACTTCCTTCAAGATGCAATAAAAATATCTCCCATTGTGGATACTCTTGCAAAATTAGGAGCTTAAATTTAAAATTAAGACATCCCATTTATCAAAAGTTATTGAAAAATATGAAACTTCCTAAACCTGTATTAGATTGCAACCGATGGCATTCAACCCATGATATGTTAGAAACGCTGATTTTACTCAAACTCAATATCGAAGATTATTTTTCAGAGCAATCTGATTATTTATTGACTGAAGATTGGAAAGAGATAATAACGATTGTTTAAATTTTAAAACCACTAAAAATCGCAATCAAACGATTCCAATCTGAACAGTTAACACTGACAGATTTTTATGCAGTATGGTTAAGATGCTGCATTGAACTAAAAAAAAAATTCAAACCATTTTTCTCAATTACTATATTCTTATCTTAAGAATAGAGAAGAACGGTTTATAAAGAATTAAATTCTCTTAGCTGCTATATACCTGGACCTAAGATACAAGATTAATTAAAAGCTTAGTAAATTAATGATTTTGGATTTATATTAAAATTGTTAACTTATGGAATTGCCATTTATTTAAATATAAACAGTATAAATCCTTAAATATTACAGATATTACTTAGTGATGATGATAAGATTTGTGTAAAAAGGCATTTTGTCGATTTATAGAGTGAGATTAAAAGCATAACAACGCCGATTTTATCTGATAATATTATTTTCGATGAAGTTATTGAACAATAAGATGATGTAGTGAAATTGATACAACTTAAAGAAAGACAGAAGAAAATACCTAAAAGAGGGCCAACGATTGCAGAGAAAAGTATTGGAACTATAATTACAAGATTTAGGGATTTTAAAAGATTAGATAATAAAATATTTTGCATTTTTGGGAGTTTGCTGTCTGCTAAGCTGGAGCACCCTGATTTATATATTTCCCGGCTCGTTTTGAGCCGATTTTTAAAAACGGATATTTAATCCAGAAAAATATTAAGCAAGCCTGAAGATTTTGCTCATAAAAGCAACAAAGGTCTAGACATATATTATCAAAATCTCGAGGCTTAGGCAATACTTTTCTGGCTAAAATATTAAGTTAGCCGTTTTTAAAAATCGGCTCAAAACGAGCCATTTAACAACACTACCTGCAACTCATGTTAATTTATCATCATATTTTCACATAAATAAATTTAATATAGGTTAGCGTTGAAAGAACTTTTCACATTTGAAATTCATTCTTTCACCACATAGATCGAGGATGAGTGAACAACTCTTGGAAGATATTATGCTAATACGTCTAAATAAAAATTTTTTAAATTGATACATGATGCTTTGTAATTTTAACTATATTTTGCCTATAAATAAAATAAATAATTAATTTTTTATACCAATTTTTAAATATAAAATTTTTCTTTTTATCAATTCAAAAATTCTTAAACCAAAGCTGAACCTAAAACCAAACCCGGGTTCAAAATATTTCCCTAAACCGAACCCAGGCAAAAATTTTGTCGGGTTCGCATCCCTGGAGAAAACATGATTATTTTAATATCTAGGACCAGAAATTCTAAAGGGTAAAACGTTAAATCGTAGGGTTAACTGTAATTCATTGTTCATTAAATTAAAAATTGAATTAAAACTGTTTGTTTTGGTTGAATCTTAATATAATTGCTTATGAAAAGTAAATCAATCTTGGAAGTAAGATAAGAAAAAATAATCATTCTATTACGATCTATAAAATATCAAATATATTAATAAGAAACCTGCAGACTAAAACGCAGAACACCAACTATTTTGCCATAATAAGTCTCTATATGTTCTGACCCAGTGAAGAAATTTTTAAATTCAACTTTTGGGTTATCAATTTTGTTTTCCTCACTTTCCTTATTGTAGACTTCTGATTCATTCGTGATATTTATATACCTAAACATATATTGAACATCGTCATCTTCTGTATCTTTACGTATAACTTGACATTTTACATTTTGGAGGTTCAAAAAATATTTTATATCTACAGCAGCGCATAGGAAAATGGCCCTAGAAAATGTTTCAAGGTAAAACATAATTCGCTTATAAAGCGATGAGATATCACAATGCAGCAAATTTACATCGCCTTGTAATTGTTGACTAGGTAGAAAAGATTTTTGATAATGATAATTTGAACGTTTGATAGCAAAAATTTGAGCATATATTTTGAGAGCTCTTCCGCTATAAAGCAACGCGAATGCTTGTTTCCTAGCCACCCTTTTATCTACAATCAGCGTTTTTATATAGGCGATGTTGTCATAATCAATTTCAGAGTCAGTACCATCATTTAAAATAGTATTGTCAATCTCATTTACTTTAAAATTTAAGTTGAGAGTCGACGATGACTTAAGAAAGTAATCTAGCACTATGTTACATAAGGATTCAAGTTCATCCAAACATTTTAGAATGTTCTTATTAAGATACTTAATTTCAAAATTTCTTGCTGTCAAATTATCGCCGCATACCTCCATATTTTGGTGATTCGATTGATCTTTTTGGCGGACCTCACTGTGACAATCTTTAATATGGCTATTTTGGGAGGGTATTTTGTATTCCTTATTAATGTTAATCCTTGATGTATTGTTTAAAGTTTTGATAATTTTGTGGAAAATATCCATAATGTGTCCCATTATTGTGACATCCGCATTTACTGGAGAGCATTTAGAATTCGGTTGATTTTCGTAATTGAAGGAGTCATGTATAGTTCTTCGTTATAATTATGTGTTTATAAATAAGTAGTAGAGTATAGAGGATTCAGTATGATTCTGTATTGCATTAGAGTATAGTGGATTTTTTAAAATAATTTAATTAGTTAGAGCGTGAAATTTTTAAAGACTTAATTTTGCCAAAATTGTATTCCATGGTAAAGTTGGACAGCAATCAATTGCATATCTAATTAATTTATAAAAATTCCTTGAATGAGCAACTATAATTAATTTGGCTTTTAAAGTAAAAATGGAATTAGAATAGAATTATAAATACTTTTCTAAAATTAATTAATTTTTTATGAAAAACGATTAATATTTTTATTCATATTTTATTTTATAAATTTTTGCAGTAATATCTAATGAGATCTAAACAAAAAATGATTTAAAATCATTAATGCTGATACCTGAAGCTGCTTCAATAAAGAATCCTAAAAAGTTCTGAGATTATCTTAAATTAATTTTTTTTATATTTTAGTTGTAAAGAATTTCTTAAAAAATTTTTAGACCTAAATCTTTTGTGATTTTTATGTATAAAAATGTTACATTACGAAATCGAATAAATTTAAAAAAAAAGATCTTGATTTTCTTTAAAAATTTTTATGTCAGTGCTTCAAAGATTTTTTACTCAAAATTTTGAGCGAAAAAAATTTTCAAAAAATCAATTGAGATATTTTTTAAAACTGGATCTAATTATATAGTATTAATTATAATTTTAACTTTTTAGTTTATATCCAAAGGGTATAATTCACTTGATAATTGTTATTGATATAATGAATTAAAATTGCAAAAATGATGATGATTTCTTAATTTTAAAATTGAAAATTAAAAAAAATAATTTGGATTGTGTTTTATAGATTTTTAACGAAATTAATTTAAATGATCTAGTATTAAATAATAAGAAACTATAATATAATTAATTGCAAAGTTCTTTAAGTAATTGTATTTAGAAATTAATTATATTTTCATCCTTGTTGCATAGTATCTATCCTTTAAATTTCAGCCAATTTTATAGCAAATTTTTCAATCAATATTAATTTTAAATCTATTTTTCATTTATTTTTATATATTAATTAAAGTTAACCCAAAAATTATAAAATTCATAAGGTAATTACTAGATACATAATGGAAGGAATACGATTCCAGCTAAATAAAACACTTGAAATTATAAACTGCTCGCTATAAATGATTTAAATTTAAAATTCTTTTATACTCTATGATAGTGTTGTTAAACGACTCGTTTTGAGCCGATTTTTAAACAGCTAACTCAATTTTATCAAAATATTATGCGAGCCTTATGATTTTATTTATAGATGAAAAAAGGTGTGAGCATCTATTAACAAAATCTTGAGGCTTAGGCAATATTTTTTGCCTAAAATATTGAGTTAGGGTTTTTAGAAATCGGCTCAAATCAAGCCGTTTAATAACACTACTTTGACGATAAAAAAACGGGCTTTCGAAGAGAACTAGTTGATATTAACCAGTAAACGGTCATTTTGTGAGTCTCCAAACTCAGTTTCCTTAAACGGGTTTATTTTCATGAAGTAGGGGCTACGATTTTGAAAGACCCAAGATCAGCACTCTTTTTGGTAAACTCGATTTGAACTAAACTGGGTTTAAAATATGCCTGGAACTTTGAAAAAATAGTGCTAGTCCAAAGCAGTGGAAAATCATTATATTTTTATTATTTATTTCTAATTTTTCTTACCTTTCAAACATTTTTATCAATCTCCATATCCTTCCTTCCTTTCCGACCCAATACTCGTCTATAATAAAGTAGCTTTCATCTTTTTCGTCCACATTGTCCTTGTTTGAACTATGCTCTACCTTAGCATTATCTTCTATCAAATTAGCATAATTTTCATACATATTGTTGGTGAGAGTTTTCAGATCTTTCAAACATTCTATCACGACTTCTGATCTCAGATCGGTGATGGCAAATTTTAGCAATAGGTCCATCTTTAAAGGGAATGTTTTTTTAAGTAAAAAAGAATAATAAATTTCAATGTTCGAACTATAATATGATTTTCCATTCTAATCTCTTCCTCGTTTATATCTAAAATATATAAACTTGTTTATGTGGATTCAATTTTGAATTAATAGCCAATTTGGTTAATGTTTGAAGGATCAAGATAGTGAACTCTTGAGTTGGGTGGGTCATTAACACACTTTCGCATATAGAAATAGCCTATATTTTAAACAAATAAATCATTTTATAAATATTTCATATTGTAAACAGTTTATTTCTTTCTTTGGCTCTATTACTATTTAGTTAATGTATTCTTTTTTTAGCTCCTTTCTCTTTCTTTTTTCTAATTTCTTCTTGCATTAACTTTTTGTATCTAATAATTCTTAATTTATTTATACAATTTGAATTATCCTTCTCCATTCATTCATATGCTAGTCATCTCTTCCATGGTATTAGTATCCAGAGATGAACTGGTATCACTCTTTTTTAGCCTATATCAATACTAACACGATATCGGCTAATACCATTGATACCAGAAAAATAATAATTTATTGGAAAAAAAGCAAAGATCTAATTCATCAATATTATTATTTTCTATATATTTATTATTTATAATTATTAAATTTATAAAAGTAAAAAGAAATATGAGATTAAGAGCACTTCTTTCTTGGTTTAGAAATTTGCATTTTTTAAAAATATAAATTTATAGCTTATGCTTAAAAGGATTTTTTTTGTATCGATTAAAATCGAAATTATCGGTCGATATCGATATTGATGATGCCAAGTTTCCGTTTCATATTCAAATCACCTCATCAGAGGTCCCCTCTCCTTATTGCACTTCCATATCACCCACCAAGGTATTCACCCTTTTTCTGACCAAGTTAAAAAAAATAACAAAACCTTCTGGTAGGATTCGATATTGCGGTGCATGTATTGAAGTATTGGTATGAGTTTGAGTTTAATGCTAAGAGGAGTTGCCAATCCTTGGATCCTTTCACTCAGTTTTTCGCATATTATAACGGAAAAAGTACTATAAGAAATTTCGGATAAATTAGTGACAATTTTTTTTTTTAAATATAAAATATTAAAATTATCATTTAAATAATAGTTATTTAAGAAAAAAAACTAATAAATTAAAAAAATACTATCCATACCATCACAAGAATTTGAGTACTTAAACTTATTGTTTTGATATTTTTATTTGAAAAATATGGAAATTTATCAATTATTTGTTTCATATTACAAGATATTTAGTAACGTTTATTTCGTTAACTGTCAAAAAATTTGAATTTGAAAAACATTTTTTTTAAAGAAAAGAGATTTTTGAATCAAATTTATTTTTAAAAAAATATATGTAATTTTCACGCGTAAAAAATCTTTTAAGATAATCATAGATTTTTTAAAATTCTCTGCAAAAATTTTTTAATTATTCATACAATCTAAATAACCCTATTTTTGATAGAACTTATTTTAAGTATTGTAAAAAGAATATTTAAAAGTATCGTAATATAGATTGTAGAAAGAATATACACTTCAAATCAAGTTTTTATTCACTTTATTAATTGATAAAAATCATAAAAAATTATCTACTAATTATAATATATTAAAAAAATATCGTAATTTATTAATTTCAAAAAGAATCTTTTTTTTTAAATTTCAAAACTTTAATCAATAAAAAATATATCGAAAAATATACATTATATAATCATCATTTTTTCCTTTTCATATAATAATAATAATTTTCCACTCAGATGTATCAATGCATCTGATATGTGAATACATGCTTTTAATGCATAACATACTAGAACACTTATCAGTAGTGTTGTTAAGCGGCTCGATTTGGGTCGATTTTTATAAACGGCTCGATTAAGATTTTAGCCAAAATAATAATACGTAATCCTGGAGATTTTGCTCATAGATGGTAGAGTGGACCTTGACTTACATAATATTATTTTGGCTAAAATCTTAATCGGGCCGCTTTTGAAAATCGACCCAAGTCGGGTCGGGTCGTTTAACAAAACACTACTTATCAGTGATGGAATTTATTTCAAACTAACACAAGTGGCATAAAATCTGCTCGAAATTTTAAAATTTGACATTGAAATAGGAAAATGAAATGGAACAAATTACATGCTTTAAATCAAAATAGTTTTTTAAATATGATTTTACAGTTTTTAAATAAATCCTCAATTTAATAATTATATTCTCATCTTAATAATTATATACAAGGTTTAATAATTATATTCACAATTTTTAAATTATTTCAGTTTTTTAAATAAGCGCTCAATTTTATATGAAACTGTGAAAACATGAATTAATAACTTAAAAAATTGATTTAAAAACTGTGTATTATAAAATTATGAATTTCGATTATTCTACTGTGCAATTAAATGAAATAAATAAAAGATAGCAGCAATAAAGGAAGAGGGGGGTGGGGTTGAGAGTCTGAATCCTCCAAAATCTATGCATAGCGTCAAACGGCATTTGTAACAGAAATTATTTATATGTAATTAAAAGTAAGACATTGAAATAAAAGCCCAAAAGCCCTAATTAGGATGCGGTCTAAATTGTAATTTTAAAAATGAATGAAGCCATTTGTACTTATATCGAAATTTAAAATTCATATACTATTACATAAGCTGAATACTAAATTCATATTAGAAAAATTTGCATGAATGATATAAAACGAGTAAACTATTCATTTTAAGGGTCAGTTTAAATATAATATAATAGCCTAATATATTTTTAATATAACAAAAAAATCGCCCCCTCCCTTGGTACTCTCCTAAGTGAATATCCCTGAGTTAAGGTTAAAAAATTTTAATGTTAGAAAATACAAAATTAACGGAAAAAAGGAATATAATCAATCATATAAAATACAAAATACTTTGACTGCTTGCAAAATTTTTCGCTAGCAAAAATCGCGGCTTCCACTTCTACATTATCATGTGAATCTAATCCATTCTGAATAAAATGATGAACATTGGTCTTGTCGGCAATTATGCTAGATATACTACCCAATAATCTTTATATTAAAAATATAATCGATTTTAGAGTTTAAGATAGGATAACGATAGAAATTCATCTATATACTTGGTACTTACAAATTTAGTCGATGCCAGTGGCTGATACTTAAATTTTTTAGCCTATATTAAGCCATGAATTTTATTCCAAATTTAGTCGATGCCAGTGGCTGATACTTAAATTTTTTAGCCTATATTAAGCCATGAATTTTATTCAAAAAATACCCATCTATTTTTCAAAATGATAAGAAAGAAAGATCACATTATTTAATTAATATTAATTTGTAAATTTTATATATTAATTAATGATAAAAAAAAATGCAAAAGTAACTGTTAATTTTAAAATGGTATATTTATTAGAGTCCTGCACGAACTAATCCAAACCCGACCGAACTTTGGTTAAATTCGGACCTCGATTTTAAAATTTATTTCGGACCGGATCGAAATCAAATTATTTTGTTTAATTAACGTTTTTATTAAAAATATTTACAAGTTAAATAAAATGTAGACCTTCGGAAAATCGAATCGAATAATGAAATATTCACATTCGAATCGTAACTTTTGAACTGAATAATTTATTGTTCGATTCGAATAAGAAAAATTATATTATTTTTATTCGTACGATTCGAATAAATAATATCGTTTAATAAAATTAACAAAAATAATTATTTTTGAGAGATATTTATTAAAAAAGCCATTCTTCGGGTATAAAGTTTTCCCAATTTATTTTTATAAATATGCGATTTTTGATAATCATATTTGTGCCTATAAAATAGACGCTAGTAAGATGAAAAAAAAACTCTATTCTTTCTACTCCTTCTGGTTGCTTAATTACCATTATAAATTTTATTCTAATTTTAAGAGATCTTAAACAAAAAAAATTCACTATTATAATGAAAAAATCAATACTGCAAATGCCTGAAAAAATAACATATTTGATTACAGTGAACTTTAATTTTATAAAATTTTAATTACAAATATATGCATATGATTTTAATAATTTGCAAATAATTCGAATATTTAATAAATTTTACGGATATAAATAATTAGTACCAATCATCTAAATTTATTAATCGTCAAAGAAGAATTGTTAATTCGTTGGATATAAATAATTGATCATTCGTAGTATATATTTTTTTTTCGTAATTATTTGTCCTTCATTTAAATTCTTTTGATAAAAAATTTATAATCGCAAAATTATTTTTTTTATAATAAACAGTTTATATTTAAAACACCGAGTTAATAAAAAATATTATAAAGTAACTTGACTGTAACTGTAAATTTATTTTTTTTAAATGTAACTAGTAACAAGTAAAAATTTTTTTTTTTATAGATATCGGTCAAAAAATGGTATAGTAGGCGCATCTCTGTATAAGACTATAGTTATATTTTAGCATAATAAATATTCATTTGATGGTATCCCGTCTTTACAGAGAATCTTTTATAGAGAATGCAAACATAGAGAAACTTTTATAGAGAAAACAATTGTAGAGAATGTCGTTTATAGAGAATGATTTTATAGAGAATTTATTTTATAGAGAAACTTTTAAAGAGAAAACAATTATAGAGAATGTCGTTTATAGAGAATCTCATTTATAGAGAATGATTTTGTAGAGAATATCGTTTATAGAGAATGATTTTATAGAGAATTTATTTTATAGAGAAACTTTTAAAGAGAAAACAATTATAGAGAATGTCGTTTATAGAGAATCTCATTTATAGAGAATGATTTTGTAGAGAATATCGTTTATAGAGAATGATTTTATAGAGAATTTATTTTATAGAGAAACTTTTAAAGAGAAAACAATTATATAGAATGTCGTTTATAGAGAATGATTTTATAGAGAATATTTTACAGAGAATTGTTTTACAGAGAATTATTTTATAGAGAATATTTTACAGAGAATTGTTTTAGAGAGAATTATTTTATAGAGAAGGATTTTATAGAGAATAATTTTATAGAAAATGAATTAAGTATTATTTTAGAAATAAATTTTCTCAAAAAAAGCCAGATGCCGTCATATAAATTCTCGGAACCCTTGAATAGAAAAAGGGAAAAAATAATCATAAAAAAATTTATTCACGTTCCTGATTTGTATTGCTTATGAATAATTATGATAATATTTTTGAGTTTCCTCTTGTTATTTTTTTAAAATACGCTGAACAATTAGAAGTAGTAATACTAAAATTATGAAAATGTTTCCTTCTTTATCAGTTTCTATTAGTGCTTTGCTTTAACTAGTAGAGTAGCCATTTAAAAAAAACTATTAGCAACAAAGCCAGCCTTACGCCAATTGTTTTAGAAAATTTTGTCAATATTTAGTTGCTTTGTGCATTATTTTAATCTGCTTGGCCCGGCCCCGATTTTTAAAAAATATATTATCTATTTTTAATTTGCCTAGATAATAATGGTGTTAAAATATTTGGTTTAAAAATATATGGCCCGGCTCGAGTTTTTTAAAAAAAGCTTTTTTTGACCCGGCCCGTGTATTTAAAAAAATTAAAATACGGCCCGGGTTTAAGGTCGGGCCTGTAGGTCTTTGATTTATAGTGCGCTTTTATAATTTCCCTAATAAATCTGATTTTACCAATTCCGAAGAGAATCTACCATGGGAATTTCATACGATTGCGCCAAAATATTTTTGTATTTAATAATTTTATTTTGTTCTATTTTTTCATTTTAAATCATAAATTGAGCGCGTTTTATTAAATTTTATATCTGATTTTGCCGAAAATGCATTATAATATGTGTAGAATATACCCACCCTATAAATTTCAGAAGATCTTATATTGAACTTCTGAAGAAATTTTAATTTACATTAATCTGAAATTTATAAGTAGTGTTAGTAGCCTAAAAATCAGCTAAACATAATTTGGCTTAACCGAAAAATCGCCTAAAACTAATTAGACAAATTGTAGGGACTGGGAGCTAGGCTAATCGCCCGTCAGCGTTACGCAACACTAAGCCTAGCCTTTATTAAAATTATTTTATATATTTATTATGTAACGATATATGACGGGCGATTAACCGACTCCTCGATGCCTAATTTTTGAATAATTAGTTTTCGCTATTTTTATGCTAAGCCTAATTATGCTTAGACGATTTTTTAATCTAAAAACTTGGCTAACCGTTTTGGAATTGCCTAAAATTAACCGATTGCGCAACATTAAGGGTGGGTATTCTACACTTATTCAGGTGCATTTCTGGCAAAATCAGATTTTTAAATTTAATAAAACGCACTCAATTAATGATTTTAAATGCAAATAATAACAAAAAATAAAACATTACCCATTAAACTATCGCCTTACAACATTAAGTTTAGTTAAAAGATCATTAGAGTACTGTCTAATATTCACAGGGTAGGCAGGGAAGACCAGGGGGTGGTTGGATCAATTTCTGTCTCGTCATAGGTCCGAAAATAATTGTATCTGAATTTACAAAATACAAAATGATAGTTCAAACCCTTACCTAAAAATTATACATAAGACAAAATTTAAAATAATACACTTTTTTCTCTAAATTGATTTTAGTAAAATAAAAATTTCTTATTACAAGCCTAAACTCCTTAGGAGTGTAGAGAAAGGTGAATCAAAAAGTTTAAAATGTTTTTTATAGGTTTTTTGAACTTGTTAAACATTCCGAAGATCAGACTTTTAATATTTATAAGAAATTTTTTATTTACATATAGGGATTATATTTATTGATACCAATTTGTTTAAATATGGTTGGTTCACAGACAAGCTTGTCATCATATGATTATAAGAAGCTTTGTATCATGATATACACTGATTTCCATCACATTGTAATGTCTTTCTTTAAAAAATATCGGAGCTTGATATTTGCAGCAGATTGCACAATATTTTACTAACTCTTTTACACTTAGAAGTTATTTCAAATACCTAATTATCAAAAGATTTTTCATCATATATTATAATACTACCCCCTTCTTCCCCCACTCTCCTCATTTCCTATACCACATCAAAATTAGAACAACGGAATTCCAAATACAAACTACCCATTTTAATTTCAATGCCAATCATGAGTTATAACCTCTTCCCCTGTGGTAAAAGGTCCTGTTTAACATTGTTTGAATGAAGCGTCTTTTTATTATTGGTAGTCGGTCTATAGATCTGGTTATAAGCAAGTATAATTATCATTAATATTTAAATTTCTTCGTATCATTAGGGCTAATTATTTATTCAAACTTTTCTGTTGGAAGGAGGGGTGGATGTTTCTTAATAAAAAAATTTTCATGATTAAAGCAATATTTTCATTTTCCAGCATAGCATAAGGATTTTCATTATCTAAGCTTCCTTAGACAGTTATATATAAAGGCATAGAAAATGTAAAAAAGAGATATTTTCCACCTTTCGATTTTTTAGGGTTGTATCTACTCCTTGAAGTACAACTCACAAAGTAAATATTTCATTCCATTAAATTTTCTCATCTTCAGCGATGATAGTAACGTCCAATCACTATTATCGCCATTCTAATAAAATTTATGACATTCATCAGATTAATAAAATATAATATAGGAACTGAAATGGAAATATACTATAATTTGTGTCAAAAATAGCTAAGTTATTTTTAATAATATATGAGGCATGTTCAATTCATTCAATTTTAGCTCCACTTATATTTATTATATTTCTATATCTATTTTTATATAATTTTGTCTTTGATCACATAATTGGAAAAAAGACTCGTCAGGAAGCAAGAACTTAGCAAGAATCAATTAAGGAAATCAATAATCTATTTTTTTCTCAATTCCTAAGTCACAATAGTGGCAATTTCATCATCAGAGATTACACGAATTAAGTACTGAGATGGATAGTAATTCAATTCGACAATATACTTATCTGAATATTGTTTCATGTCTTATTGTGATAAGCTTTGACCTTGTCTTTTTGATTAAACAATAAGAGAACTTTATATAAATTTATTATCAAAAACTGTTTATCAAGTCCATACTAAATCCCTCACTAATTAAAGCATGCTTTG